ATGGAGTAGAAACTAATCTAGGCAATTGTTTTTGGAAGATTGAACCAAATGGAAGCTAAAATGGTGAAGTATTTCTTTCTTCTTAGCCCAAGGGAGAGCCGGCCATGGAGGGAAAAGAAAAATGGTGAATTTTGGTGATTTTTGAAGATATTTAACAACTTGGTCAAAAGTAAAAAAAAAATGAAATAGTAATTCATAAGTCTTCTCCAATGAAATGGTGACACTTGTCACCACCATTAATGCATTCCTATCCTTTCTTTTCTCTCTCACATCAATCATTTCTCACTCTCTACTTATCTCTTAACACCCGATAAATTTTACACAGTATCCGGAATTTAACCTAATTGGCCGAATTTTTCCGAACTTTTCGCACTAGTGGGTCCCACGTCCGATATACGTTCTTAATTTCTCAAAACTAACTAATACTAGAAAAATCATCTAAAAACTATATTTACTCATAAAAATTATCTGGGAAATTTTCTAATAAAGAAAATGTAGAAAAAAAACGGGTTTTCAATCTTAACCGGAACTTAGGGTTTAAATCGTAATTCCTACTTAGGGTTTTCGAAATACTCCCAAAACCAAACGTTACCGCCAAATTAATGAATATATCAACGTAGTACGAACTGGGGCCTCACAATCTCCCCTCCTTAAAAGAATTTCGTCTCGAAATTCCAACTTGCACTAATCAGATCAAATAATCCTCAAAAGCAGTCAAGTACACAACAGGCAATGCCTCAAAAGTTCAACCACACGAGTAGTAGCCGGTCTACAACCACACAAGTACTCAAATAAGTTCAAAAGCCGGGTTCAAACAAATAAGCTCAAAAGATTATACTCAAATATACATATTTTTACAAAGTCACACTAAAAATATACAAGTTATCCGACATCCGGTCGGTGCAAAATCCATTATTTACGTGAGCACTACGGCTCCAAAAATGTAGTCAATCACCGGGTAACAAAAGAAACCAGGCATACTGGTTATAACAAAATAAACATGGCAGATATAACAAAATAAACATATCAGATAGTTAAAAGGAAATCCCATCAACGGCCCTACGCGCCTCCCCTACGGAACCTACCTAATCCACCAGCACCGCCCCGGCGGCCCTAGGGTGCAAGCCTAAAGAATAGGTCCAAATAGCTAACTTCAATATTAAGTAAGAATCAAATCGATTCACACTGGGACTGGCCATCTCCAAGTGTAATCAACTCAATCCCCACTTTGCCTTATGAAAAAAAAAATTACAAAAGTCAATATCAAAATCTTAGCATTCAATATTTACCTTAATAGCCAAGTATCCCACAGTCCGGCATCCTAAACTTCAAGCCTAGGATACACTACAGAAATCTGAAGCCTAAGCTCTGATACTAACTGTGACGACCCCACTTCTCCCAAGGGCGAACCCAAGGGTATCGGCGGGCCGCCTGCCTAGCTCGCGCCAGGACTCAAAACTTAAAACAATAAAACGAGATAGATCAAAAGAGCACTATACACAATATATACAATCCCAAAAAAAAACTTCAGGAGTCTCGAGTCAAACCACTCTAATACACTATAACCACCACCAGCAGAAGATAGACCCTAAGAAGGGTTCTTATATAAATCACCAAAACAAAAACAAACATCCTAACTGTTCAACTATTACAAGCCAATCTAACTATACTAGTATACGAGCCAAAAGTCCCCGCGTCGGCCCCTGCTAAGGAAAACAAAAGGAAAGGGGTAAGCTATATGCTTAGTAAGTAAACAGGGGCGAAAGCATAAATTTACGTAGCAACAATTACACAATAAGAGTAAAGCAAAAGCAGAAAAGTAACATCACATAATAAGGATACGGGTGGCTCCAAAGCCAATTCATGTGCCATGTATGATCTCCTGCCGACACTCCGTCGACCGCAAAAATAGTCCGTAGAACTTCACTTGTACACCCACCGACACCTTATCACCCTCACTGGCCAGTCACCTCACAAACTTGCCCGGGCGAACGAAATCACAAACTTGAGCTTGAGTCACAAGCTCGGGTCACAAACTTGGTCACCTTCTCGGTGAACCGGATTCACAAAATTGGTTCATAACATGAACCCACAAACTTGGTCACCTTCTCGGTGAACCGGATTCACAAAATTGGTTCATAACATGAACCCACAAACTTGGTGACCTCAGACTAAGTTGGACTGACTTCGACCAAACCCTGACCGGCTCGAATAGTCCATCTAGGTCGGAAGATCAACTGCAAACTCACAAACTTCACAAAATTATTCAAAAGTCACCCCGAGCCACAAGCTCAAGGGTCTTGGTTCCAAAAGGGTCATATACATATGCCAAGTACAATTATACATTCAAATTAGGGTTTAGGTCGAGTGCGATAAAGTACACCCTCGCCTAAGTACCCTTTTCACATATCTCAAACACATAACAAAGAAAACACATCAAACTGGCCTGAATACTTACTCAGAAACTGAAATAGCAAAAGTACGAAGTCGGATCGAAATGAACAGCTAGTAGTGGGCCCCACCAGTTCCGCCCAGCTCACCACCGTCTGAAATAGAAGATTGTGTCATAATATCGCAAACGGCTACTATCGTGCCTAAAACAAGCAAAACGGCAAAAACGGCACGCGCGCACATATATATGACGAACGGAGACGGAGACGGCCGTTAGCGGAAACGGCAGATTTGACACTCGTTTCTAGTTTACTCATAAGTTGAGCTACGAATATCGGATTAAGGCATATGAGACGCCATATCGAAGCTTAAAGGATGAACAACAACTGTTATGAAGACATCCAGAACTGAAACTGGAGGCTTTAGTCCCAAATGAACCAAACACAATCACTTACGAAATCTGGCAAATGCACAAATGGTCAGTTTTGAGTGCAAACTGTTTTCTATGCTACACATGGTCAAAAGAGCTGAAAATTGGCAGTTAGATAGTTCATTCCAAATGGAACAACTTTCATGAAGGTCGGCAACCCAAATTCGGAACGGAAATTGGTCATCAGGACCAAAACAGATTTCTGGTCATTTTCACGGGCAGGCCTTGTTTGCTCGGCTATATCTCAGGTTTTATAAATCCGATTCATGAAATTCCAAGGGCGTTAGAAAGCTCTGATATAGGGCTATAAGTTTGGTGTTTTGGTCGGAAGTCCAAACAGCTTGTAACTCAGTCAAATGTGAAGCCAAAGTTCCAGCCATAAACTTTCCAAAAACGTACCAGAATCACAAACCGTATTTGACCTCAATATGCGGTAATGGCACCAAATTCACTACGGTTATCGGATGGGGGTGTAAGACCCACCGTTTCGAAGCTAAGAAACAGGAGTACAACAATGTAGAAGGCCACTCAGTCCAAATCCTAGCACAACTAGGACAAATATGCAAAATACAAATCCAGAATTACCAAAAACAGGTTTGCAAATCACATAAAACTGTAATCGGTATATCTCAGTCCATACAAGTCCAAATGCCGAAATTCCAAAGGCATAAGTTAGCTAAAACGTCCAGCTACATTGCATCAGAAGACACCAACAACAAAATCCAAACCAATTCCAGTGAAAACAAACGATTACTATTGCAGTTCGGACATTCTGTTCACCAAAAACAGCAACAGTAAAAACGGCATAACTCACTCTATATTACTCCAAATGCCCTGAAATTTTGCAGGCACTTCAAACTCATCAATACCTACAACTTTCATGTTTTGAGCCAAGGCCAATTCGGCCTCTATCTAGGACCAAAAATTTCGGACAGAATGAAGAACCAAGAACCCTAATTTTCCAGATTTCCTTCCAAATCCAAAATTGATTGCAATTTTCTATCATATGCACCTACTAGAGCCAAAGCCCATTATTACCAACCATAAAAAACAATCACACCATCAAGATCATATGAAACCAGAAAATTCCTCAAAAAATAAAAAACTCAACCAAATCACTTCAAACCAAGAAATAAACCATATATATCATCACTTTAGCCACTACTAAGCATAACCTAAGCTTTATTAAGTGAAGGAGGAAGATACACACACCACTCACCTAGTAACAAGAGAGGTAGAGATGTTGGACACCTTAACTCTTCCAAAAAGCTTCACCAAATCAACCACTAACACCAACTAGAAAGATTTTATGGAGTAGAAACTAATCTAGGCAATTGTTTTTGGAAGATTGAACCAAATGGAAGCTAAAATGGTGAAGTATTTCTTTCTTCTTAGCCCAAGGGAGAGCCGGCCATGGAGGGAAAAGAAAAATGGTGAATTTTGGTGATTTTTGAAGATATTTAACAACTTGGTCAAAAGTCAAAAAAAAAATGAAATAGTAATTCATAAGTCTTCTCCAATGAAATGGTGACACTTGTCACCCACATTAATGCATTCCTATCCTTTCTTTTCTCTCTCACATCAATCATTTCTCACTCTCTACTTATCTCTTAACACCCGATAAATTTTACAGTATCCGGAATTTAACCTAATTGGCCGAATTTTTCCGAACTTTTCGCACTAGTGGGTCCCACGTCCGATATACGTTCTTAATTCTCAAAAACTAACTAATACTAGAAAAATCATCTAAAAACTATATTTACTCATAAAAATTATCTGGGGAATTTTCTAATAAAGAAAATGTAGAAAAAAAACGGGTTTTCAATCTTAACCGGAACTTAGGGTTTAAATCGTAATTCCTACTTAGGGTTTTCGAAATACTCCCAAAACCAAACGTTACCGCCAATTAATGAATATATCAACGTAGTACGAACTGGGGCGCTCACATAGTTCACCCCGGGTATTCCAGGGGCCGAGGTTCTTTCTCGTTCAAGCACATGCTGTAGCTATATAAATATAAACACATAAAAAGAGGGAACTCTTTCATCTTTGATGCCAATCTTGTATTTCTTTTTCAGAAAACATAATCTCTAAAGTTTCATAGTCACTCATCAAATAAGTCCCTCTACTGCAGATTCCCTATCAGAGAGAGAGAGAGAGAGAGAGAGAGCTTCTTTCATACAGTACATTCATCTGTCTACAAATCTTCAAGAAAATTAGTGGCAAAGCAGGAAAAAGTTTCTAGCATTGTCATCTCTAAGCTAATTCAAATACATCCTTCCTTCTCAGAAACATCATGCTCGCCCTAGCATTCATGCCTCTACAGAGAGATAGAGAAGAGAGAGAGAGATTCACTGTTAAAAACCTGGGAAACATTATAACCAAAATAGCTACATCAGATGAGCTCTTTAGCTTGATTCTACCAGAGAAAACAGTGTAATACGTAATAGAAAAAAAACGCAAAAGGGGGGCTTACTTCTTCCATTACTAGCTTGACTGACTCACTTATGATACCCATTAATCTATCATCATCTACACCACAATCTCGGATCTCTTGTACTGGAACATCACCAACGTCAGTTAATACTCGTGGATCATTCAATTCCTTGCCTGCATAAGACCAAGATCATCTTACAGGGAGAAGATGTATTTTTCAAATATTTTCTAGTAGAAAGCATCAGCAGTGTATATTTGTCCAAATTTGTTGACAATGCATGAAATTATGATCATAATTAGAGAGAAAACATAGTGAGCAGCCAACATTATTAGGGGAACTGATCCTACCTATCAGATGAAATTTATCTCCTAGCTTTGAGAAAAGTGTTAAGGTAATTTCTCGATTGGAGTAAGGAAGTAAAGATTGGCAAAGGCTCATAGAACAGTAGGCAGCAACAAAATAATGGACCACAAACAAGCCAACGAAAAACTATTAATAACAGAGACCAAATCCTACAGAAAGTAATAAAAACCACTAGCATCACAAGGGAAGGGGTTTGTTTTCCACCTCCTTTGGGGTGGGGAATTGATGGAGGCTTATGATGATGTCCTTATCTATGAAATGAAGCCAAGGGGATCCAGTAGATGGCACAGCTAGAAAATGATATTGACTTTTTTTAGTGTCAGTGCAACAAGGAATATTAGATGTTCCTCTGCAACTGGTTAAACATAAATACGACAAGGAACCCATAATCAACAGTCAAAAATCCTTATCAAATACTAAACTAGGTTAAAAAGAGACCAGTGGCAAGACCGAAATGAAGACATAAAATCCTCTTAATCACAATGAAACATTTCTAACCCTCTTAATCAAAGCCTTATGCACAACGGTTATATGGAGGCATTCATGATTGCCTGAATGCAAACACTAATCATTTCACAGATAATTTTGCTTTGGACAACATGGAACTCAACATCAATATGTGTTTACGTAATACTAGCATAAAAATGGCTTCACCTTCTTCAGTTGTGGAGTTTGTGCTGCCACACCAGATAGCCTCTCTTATACGAGGGGGAGCAAATGCAGGCCCCTGAAGGAATGAAGAGTTATGCCCTAGAGGAACTCCAAGAAGGGATGCTGATGCTACAGCTCCTCCTAGTGCTCGTAAAAGTTCTCCCTAACATTAATTTTAAAATTATTCTCATAGAACAAAGGAAAACTTGAAGATGAAAATTTTGACAGAGATCAAATCATACCTTGAGCTTAGCTCTCTCACGGATAAAGGTAAGAGATGCCTCCATAACACGATTCTGCCCCCTCTCTAACAAGTCCTTGGGCACATTTGCAGCATTTAGTTTGTGCAAATAACGAATTCCCATCCTCCCAAGATTCTTCATATTGTTAGATACTGAATACAGTGCCAAAAACAATCCCTAGCACCACCATGTACAAGGTATTCAGAGATTATGAGTGTAGCATAAATACACAACAACACACCCTTGTGCAAAAATGGTAGTTTAGGGTGCTAACTTGAAAAGGTTTTTGAGTAATCCATTCCATCCCTATAAAGTTTTTGAGTAGTGCCTTAGATAGAGGTTAGCAGAAGCAATTGGAAGTAGGACAATAAATTTCAAATAGTCATAAAAACAGTTGAAATAAAAAAGCAAAACAATGCTTTCCCTTTTGATTATCGTCCAGTTAACTATCGTCAAACAAAAGTTGCGCCCAAATAATCAGAGCCCACAATTTCATTCTTTTACCCCTGTTTCTGCACCAAAAATTTCGAGGGTCCTTGGATACAACGGCAAAATCCCGTTTTTAGGTATATTGAGGTGCCCAATTCACTATTTCTCTAGCTTTTATCTCCGCGTCCATCTTTTCCGCTGGCAAGTGTCAACCAAATAAAAATATTTTTTTTCTTTAATGGCACTGGAGTGTAATTCTGTAGCTTTCTTTAATTTTCTCGTCTTGGCAACCAATATTCACAATCAACCATGCAAAGTTGAAAAAAGGAAAACAACAACTTTTCTCTTTCACTATTCTAAACATGATCAAGACACGATTTTTCAAAAGAATAAAGACAGGACCAAAAAACCATAGCAACCAAAAAAGTCAAGAACTCGGGAAACCGGGGAAGATGGAAAGAACAAACACTTACCAGCCCAAAAAGAGACACAGAGAAAGAGATTTGCAGGGATGAGCCTTGGGAATTTCAATGGTTGAAGGGTTGTTTGTGTCGCAAAGTTTTGAGTTGTATTGATACAGAAAGAAGAAGAAGAAGAAGAAGAGACGAAAAAAGGAATGCAGGTGTTTGGATTTTGGTGGGGTTTTGGTGCCAGTGCTTTGATGACTGGTGCTGCTGTTTTCTTGCCTGCTTGGCTACTCGCAGCGAATGGGTTACGGAAATGGAGCCAAACTTTGTGAATATTGAATTGGATATTTTAAAGTAAACTCCATGGAATGGAATGGGGATTTGTGGAAGAATCGGATTAGAACGGTTTACACGTAAACTGTACGAGGTATGAAAGTGTTTGCAGTCTTGTACGGCCCTTGCACTGCCATTTTTTTACTTTAGCCACTCCAAACCCAATGCAAAAAAGATTTCCCTTTTTTTCTTTAAAGAGTGAGGGTCTTCCTTGTGTTGTGGCCTATCAGAAGTAGCAAAAATGAGAGCTTACTCATACTGGGAAGCTCAGCTAAAAAATCAGTGCTTAGCAATCATTCATTTTGTCATAATTATAATTAATTAAAGAAAAAGGCATTCTTCACTCTCAGGAGGCACAGCAGAAAGTTAGCAAATCGACAAACGAACAGTTCCCAGATTTGGAACGTGTAGCAGCAGCAGCAGCATTGATTTGGGCACCAGTACTCATCGAGATTTTTTACGAGCCATCCCATAACGACTTGTGGCACGTAAATGATTATCTTCCTATAAAACTATGACTATTGCTTAGTTTCCATATATTAGTGCTTGATTTGCTTGCATATTAAACATAAGTTACGAATTAGAAATATCCTAATCTGATCTCACACACGTTGCCATCTTTGTTATTAAAATTATGTGAACATATTATTGGACAAATTTTAATAACACTAAACTTGTTATTTTAAAGAATTAACATGTTCATCACTAGTAGAGACATGCATAAATACCACAAGTACAGAGCATTGGATACGTGATTATTTGAACTTGCATCATGAATATGTTTTCTATATTCTTCTTCAGATCTATTGCATCTGTTAAATTTGTACCCTTTTTAACTATAGTAGATATGTAATTTATAGTGTGTGTTTAATCTATCATTGAGATAGTAATGTAAATCAAATTGTGTTGGACAATTTTTAATAATCTATTGTAATAAATTTGCTTTTATCAAAAAAAAAAAATTTTTAATACTCCTTTTAATCTTTCTAACCATCTTTTATGTCACGTGCATCAGATTAAAAAAAAAGTATCATAACATTATTTAAAAGAGGCTTTTTGTAAAAAAAAAAATTTCTATTCAGAAACTTTATAGTAATGCTACTTCTAAAGAAAGACTCGAAACCTTACCGGAAAAATCTAAACATCTAAACGGCTGAACAAAAAACATGCATGCGTCATGCACGTGGTACTCGATTGATGGCTAAATGAATTGAGGTGGGTCGCAGATAGCAGGCCAATCAATGCAACAGCCCGAGCAACATCGGGAAGGATGAATGAATCTCGGTTACAGTGTTGGGCTAAATGTCTAGAAGGTCGTCTGTTCATTTGGGACTTATTAGCCCAATACAATAACACAAATGCATTCCAAGGTTTCGGGCAGCAACCCTCCAACACGGGTCCCGGATCTTTGGATTTTGGAACCTTCCAAAACGTTCTTTGCTTCCGCACCTCCCAAATTCCAACTTCCAGAAGCGCCTGCTTTTCAGCAAGAATTTTCACTTTTAGTCGATTTTACGCTACTGCCGTAACAAAACAGAGGCAGATGGCCGAGATGCCTCTGCTTCACCATAGACTAGCTCTGTCCCTCCACCACCATCACCATCTCCTCCTCCTCCCGCCGCCCACCACCACCACCAAAAGACTATCCCAAAGAATCCTCAAAATCACCATGTCCACGGCAGCTTCATCACACTCTCCATCCACCCACCAACACTCGTTAGACCAACAACAACAGCAACAAAAAGATCAAGTCTTGAGGTACCATAACCAAACAAAACACAACTTCAACAACTATGCCCGTGGCCCTTATGGCCTTGACTGGGCCAACCAACCCAACCCTTTTCGCCGTTACGTATCTTCCCCACTCCTCCCTCTTCTGCACCCTCCCTCACCCAATTCTCCCGCTACCACCCGGGACGGCTCTCCTCCTCCTCTGTATCACACGGTTTTCAATTCTTTACCGTCCCCAAAACCCATTTCCAAAACCACCATTTCTCAACTCTTTTATGATTCTTTAGCCTTATCAGCCTGGAAAACTACTGGCTTCTCCACTTGGTCCCTCAGGGTTAATCCCAGCAGTGGGAATCTTCACCCTACTGAGGCTTACATCATTGCACCACCAATTGATTCTCTGATTGATCACTCATTTGTCGCTCATTATGCTCCGAAAGAGCATGGTTTGGAAATTAGAACCGAAATTCCATCTGGGTTTTTCCCAAAAAATTTCCCCAAGAACTGTTTTCTTATTGGATTTTCCTCTATTTTCTGGAGGGAAGCTTGGAAGTATGGTGAGAGGGCCTTTAGATATTGTAATCATGACGTCGGGCATGCCATTGCCGCGGTTTCGATGGCCGCGGCAGGTCTTGGGTGGGAAGTTAAGGTTTTGGATGGTTTGGGCCATGATGAACTAGAGAAACTAATGGGACTTGATGTTTTTCCCGAGTTCAAAATCCCGTCCAGGCCGGTCAAGGGGAAGATGCCTGAGATTGAGTTTGAGCATCCTGATTGTGTGCTTCTGGTTTTTCCTAGTGGCACAAGTGATTTTGGCGTTGACTATAAGGGGTTGAGTTTAGCTATATCCCAGTTTTCAACATTGGAGTGGAAAGGGAAACCGAATTTGCTTAGTAAAGAGCATGTGTGTTGGGATATTATTTATAGGACCGCCGAGGCAACAAAAAAGCCTTTAAACATATTCAATCAATTCATAGTTGCTCCGTTTCTGGGCAGTGGAGACATTAGTGAGAGTTCTTATAAAGGTTTTAGTTTGAGGGAAATGGTTAGAAAGAGGAGGAGTGCAGTAGATATGGATGGTTCTACCACAATGGCAAGAGAGACCTTTTATCAGATTTTGCTGCATTGTATGCCTTCGGGTTTTGGGAGTGGAGAAAAGCAAAGGAAACAGTTAGCATTGCCATTTAGGACGCTTTCATGGGATTGTGAAGTGCATGCTGCCCTTTTTGTTCATAGAGTTGTAGGATTGCCCAAGGGGTTGTATTTTTTGGTGAGAAATGAAGAGCATTTGGATGATTTAAGGAAATCTACAAGGTCTGAATTTAAGTGGACCAAACCAGATGGTTGTCCGGATGAGCTTCCTTTGTATGAACTCGCAAAGGGTGACTGTCGGGAGCTATCAAAACGCCTATCCTGTCATCAGGTGTGTATGTTGACGACATTCCTGATGGCATTACTACTGAGCTCTTGACTACTATCTGCAATTCATTGTGGGATACTTGTTATTTGTGTGTTGTTTAATGTCCATTTCTAAATTGTAAGTGTCGTAGTTTTACTTCGGAGGGAATTTATCTGCAAGGTAGAAGATTATATCCAAGCATAAAAGTAAGGAACATGCGAGTCATGGAGAGAACCATCTAGTGCCACATACTAGTTTTTTATGATATGTTTCGAAAAGTAAATAGAAAATTAGTTTCAGATGGACTAAAAGTAAAGCAATAAACTTAATTTGGAGCAAAGGGACCGAGTATCTTCTAAATGCACCTGGCGTCAAATTTCTGAATTACTAAGTCTGGAGTGTGCTTCACAAGTTCCTACTTAGATCAGTAAGCATAGGCATTCGGCCTTCTTTTTGGTTCATGCTGGGAAACGTGTTTCTAATTATCAAATAATCATGAGAAAAAGAGAGTTCTCCTTTAAACTTTGATGCAGGATGAAGATGTGTTCAGTTATTTTTCCTCACTTTATACCCTGCACACTTCTGTACTGAATATCGCTAATTATGACTAACATTTTAATTGACATTGGAGCTTGTTTCTATTTGCAAATCATGAGGATGATGAGGAGTTTGGTTGCATTTTATGTTTCTTTATTAGGTGTTTGACAATATTGGAGTGCAAACTATAGGTGGATCTGCAATACGTTATTTTTTTTCAGTGGCACATGCCCTTTTGGACATTCACCTTGCATCTTTTCTTTTTTATGGCACTGGAAAATGTTATCATAGAAAAGTTACAGTAAATGTTCAGCACAGTTAGTAATTTTGACAAAGGTTTTCAGCATTAATTGTCATAGCAATAAGACTATATGGCTTTGTGAATTCTATAATAGATAACAATTTGACTTCTTCCCAGACACATTGAATATAAGCTGCCCCACGGAGATTATGTTTTGGCATAACTGCTACTTTGACTCTGCGCCACAAGCAGTGGCTGTAAATTTAGTTGTTTATGTTTCTGTAAAGCAGGAAGGTTGAGATAGACTGCTTGTGTTAGAATTTTGGGGCTACTTGCATAGAGTCGACTTATCATCCTGATTCAGAGGATCTATTTAATGGACTTCTCAAACATGACTATCTAATTATATCTAATTACAGGACATTGCCAGTGATGGTTGCTTCAGTCTGGGTATGGTGGCTCATTTGGAGCCTACCTTGCATGAAAAAGGTTCATGGATGTATCCTCGGTTATTTTGGGAGACGGGGGTCCTTGGCCAGGTCTTGTACCTTGAAGCCCATGCAGTTGGGATCTCTGCTACTGGAATTGGTTGCTTTTTTGATGACCCTGGTATAATTGTCTCTTTGACATCATGTTTCATTTGGATGGTCTACTTCGTTTTGTGTGTGTGCATGTTTGTTATGCATCCTCTCATTCAAAAGTTCCATTTCCGAGATCATGCCATCTGTAATGGATGAGCTTCTTAAAATCCGAGTTAACACATCACTGAACCATAAATCAGGGATCCATATATGGGATAGTTTGTAATTGTATCCGAACTGCAGAATTTGTAAAGGCAAAATGCTCTATTTTTGTATTTAGTCCAATTTCATCTATGAGGTATCAGCTTTATATCTTGAGCACCCTACCTATGGACACAAGAAAATCCATGATTCATAATTTCCTCCCTTTATTTTTGACAAAAGGAACTTCACTCTTTCCTTGATGTCCCATTGCCTGTAAGTTCTAAACCTTTCCTCGACTTCTTGTACCCAAGTTTCTGATACCCCCGTACTCTACCAAATGTCATTAATGGTTGCTTACTCTTAAAGTGTCATCTTGGGGCATT